CTGTGTCCTTAACAAAATTTGTATTCACGTGATTTAACAGTTGGGTGCTTATGCCTGTCTTGACTTAATAACCCCATTTTCCTTGGACTTGCCCCCATTTCTTTCAACACAAGATTCAGCTCTGGTTCTCATCGCTCCCAATGCATTCCAAATCATAGGGGATGAAGTCAGGGGACCTTGGTGGCCACTCAATCTCATGGTTGATCGCAATTAGTCTCGTGTTGAACAACTCTCGTAGCCTTTCCTTCACGATGATCCGATAATGAGCAGGAGCTCTATCCTGGGCCCACCATAAGCGGCGAAACGTGGTGTTCAAAGCATTGCCGTAAATGCAGTACAATTTCGTCGTTGATAATCTCAAGGTGACATTCACCATTGAGATAACCATCAAAGAAACAGGGTCCAATGAGGGTGCCATCTCCACACAATGAGTCCAATGAGGGTGCCATCTCCACACAGACCTATTCAAAGAGAAATCTTCTCTTGGCTCATTTTCACATTAAAACTGAAGTTGGGTGGGGTATGCATCGGAGTGTATTCACAGACATTCTGGTTATTGACTTGGCCATTCATGAAAAATGTTGCTTCATCCCCAATCACAAGGTGCTCCAAGAATCTGGGATGCCGGTGAAGGAACCACTGACAAAATCTTAGTCGTCTGGGTCGATCTGCATCAGGGAGTTCGTGTCACTTGTGCATCTTATAAGAGTACCATTGGATGTCCAATTGACCAATCTTGTAGAAAGAGGATGGCGACATTCCAAGCCCATTTCTCCTAGCAAGTCTCTTTGTAGCAACTCACAGACAGCCCTGATGTTCACATCTGATCTTGCTGTTCTTCGTCTGGCTGTTCCTTGCCTGGCTGAGCGACCCCTGTGGAGATTCAAGCTTGTGCCCTTTCTTTGGTACTTTTGGATGATTTTCCAAATTGTCGACTTGGCAGGAAAGGCACGGTCAGGAAAACACTGACAAAATGCAACTGCTACTTGCTGGAGGCTTTTAGTCCTCAACCACTCTGTTTACCACAAACGCACTCTACTCAGTTGTAAGACAAATTTTGCTGATCTGGGCAAATGAATAATCTTTCCAACTTTTAAGGAGTGTGTGATGAAATGACATGCTGAGTACTGCATAATTTCAAGGCCCAACAAAAGCCCTGCACTGGGGAGACAAGGTTCGCTTTACCAAAACATCTACCAGTATCTGGTGAAAGACCAGTTCTGACAGAGTTGATTGAGCTGCTTCATGCTCAGTCATCTGTGACAGTACATCGGATTTCTTGGTGTTATAAAAAAGAGAACATCATTTGTTAATGAATGGTGTTTGCCGATTTGTATTTAACCATGTCCAAGATATTAACAAATTAATCTCGGTTTCCTTTTTTTTTAAACACACTGTAGAAATCATTGACTCAACTCAAAACTGTGGGTGGAAGTATTGATCACTGCGCAGTCCACTTTTGTGATTTTGTTCAGTAAGAGATTTGACCACTTTTAAATTGACTTACAAGTCCATTGCTCACCTTCTAAAACTTTTAATCAAAGTAGACAATCACACATCATACACTGTCAGTGTACGTGATTTTCATTTTTATATATTTTGTTATTTATTGAATGTTTGGAGACACAGTTCTCAGCGCTCTTTCAGATAAACTAGAGAAAATGTACATGTATCTGAATCAAATATGTCACTTTCTAACTGGGACACGGATGTTGGGAATATTTTAATTCAACTTTTAAGTTCATAACTTTCTGTGCACGTTTAATGCTGGGGGTTCCAAACAAACGAATTAGTACTTTAATAAAAGACCAACTGTTCAAAGTAATGGATAAGTTGCCATTGTTTGCCCATTCATTCTCAAGGATTCTGCTACAAATTAAAGTAAACCCTGGGGATGAGGTAGTACCAGTATATAAGCCATTTGCGAGTAAAATTTGAATAAAATCTGGTACACTGAGTTCTTTCAATTCATGTGAACAAAACAATTTGAATTCTCCACACTAAAGGCACTGTTGCTATGCCTCGTGATTCGGGCAAGCTTTTGCTTAGTTACATAAGAGACGCCTAGCAACAATACACTGTTCTCAATGGATAAGAGGGGTGCGAAGGAACCAGTTCATTCCAGAGATGGTGGTCGCTATGCAAGAGCTTGCCCCGAATCACGAGGTATAGCAACAGTGTCTTTAGTAGGGAGACGCATATATTTAATTGAATGGCAAGGAACTAAACATTGTATGTTCACCTCGACAGGTACATACATATACTGTACATACATGTACATGTAGAGGGTTTGCATGGCTGCCATCTTGCAGGCTAGTGCTTTTGTTCCACAGGGTATGCAAAAAGGTTTCCCTGTGAAACAACAGAACTGCCCTGCAAGATGGCTACTGAGCAAAGCCTCTATACTGTTGGTCTCTCTCAAATGATGTCACTTTGTACAGATTGCTACATGCATAGATCAGCACTTTTGTCTCTAAACTTTACGAAGGTGCATCGGGCTTTGCCTTTTTTTGAAGATACATGTACCTGGTATTTGGATCAACGCACCCCTGAGTATAGAACATTTAAACACCGCACGCACACACACGTGTTGACGTTGTGTAATTTGCCCATGAAATATGGTGTCCAATGAGAGAGATCTATGGGTCTGCCCACACTAAAAGAC